TCAACACTTTGTTCAAGCTCTAAGACAGATGATAGTCCATTAACACAATTCTTAATTTTGGCATTATACGACTCAACACGTTGTGTGCTTTGCACACCTGCATTAAATGCATAGTGTGTAAAGCACAGAACCCAAGCTTCCCTGCAATGATAAAGCTGGTGCTGCAAATAATTTGCAGCATCAGGATATTTTTGTAAAAATGTAGCCCATCTTTCTTCGAAAAGTGACTTCACACGACTATTTCACACATAGCTAAAATCTGAAAAAAATTCTCTCCACTTTTCACGATATTTACTGAGAAAATGCTTTTCTAAATTTTTTCGGATATGAAATAAACAGAAATGATATTTTGTTATTGGTAAGGAATTGCTAGCCGCTGCAATCATTGCAGGGTCAGCATCTGTATAGAGCAAACGTGAAGCCAAATTATTAGTCACCTTGAGAATACTTTTGAATAACCATTCATAAGTTTCTTTTGTTTCATCAGAGACTATAGCAGCTGCTGTAAGACGAGAACGGTTATGATTATCTACTAGTATCATGATACACAATATCATTGAGTGGCGATTGGTTTTTGCTGTAGAATCTAAAAGGACAACATCGTGAAAGTGGGCCCACAACTGCTGCTGGCCTGGGCTCATCTAACAAAGCCTTGTAAGATGATTGTCTTTACCTTCAAATTGAGCATCAATATGAAAAGTGGGATCAGCCTGCTGTTTTTTAATAAGCTTAAGGTACAACGAACCAGCATCACTTATTTCTTCTTTTTTATACCGAATTGACTAAATCAAATTATATACATTACATTCATGAACATATTTATCTGGGAATTTTTTTTGTAAAATCTTAATTATTGCACCAGCACGCACTTCACAACTTGCAAGAAATTTTACTTCATCGCTCATCTCTGAAGTGAACTTCCGATAATGTGGTGCAACCATATTTATATTATCAACAAGCGCATGATTATGCTGACCATCAATTTTTGATACATAGATCAAATTGTCTTTCTTGCGTCGATACGCATTAACATGAAATGTACAACCAGTAGTATGATGGCCACTATCACGATCATTAATGACATGTGCTTCTTTTTTAGATATATATAATCGACCCTTCATACATTTATAGGTACGGCACCGGGGGATCCCATCCTCTTTATCTTTTTCACTATGGGTAATCGTAAAAGCAAACCCACATTCTGTTCCATGATTATCAACCCATTTATCAAACTTGTCTCAGTCTCTAAAGCTCATATTTAATTCAATAGGATATCGTAGTTCTGGAGATGAATTTAGGGGGTTTTTTCTATATTCTATCATGTCATTGTCCTCTTCATTATCAGTTCATTCAACAAAAGTTACCGGGCTACTTGGATCAAATGTATTTAAAAAAGCCTCTATGTCACCGGGCCCAAATGCATTAAGGTAAGCCTCCAGATTATCAGAATTAAAAAAATTTCCTGAATCATCAGAGTTAAATGTATATTTATTCGTGTTACCAGATTTGTCATCAAAAAAAGTCTCCAGATTATCATAGCCAAGCGCGTTAGAACAATTAACCAGAGAACCAAGGTCGGGTGCATTAGAACAATTATCTGTGTTACTAAATTCAGTATTAAAAAAATTCTCCAGAGCACCAAGGTCGAATGCATTAGAGTAATTATCTGCATTACCAGATTCGATATCAAAAAAATTCTCTGTATTACCAGATTCGTAAATATTTATCGTGTTATCAGGTTCAAACATGTCAACGGATAGCAAACGATCAACTGCAAATAATCAACTGCAAACGATTAATTGCAACGATCAACTGTAAAGGAAGAAAACTATAAAAAAAAAGTTAATCACAAATAAGCAAAAAAAAAAAAAAAAAAAAAGTAAAATAAATAAAATTTTATTAACACCAGTGGTGTAATTTAATAAGTGATTATTTAATTTATTATATATAATCATATGATTTTCCGATCTACTTTCCGACACTGGTGTTGAACACCAGTGGTGTGATTTAGTAAAACTGTAATTAAAAGTATTAAATATGAACTTAACTGTTAATTTATATGAATTTGACTGTTAGTTTATACAAATTTAATTATTAGTTCATATAAAGTTGATATACAAAACCTATAATATTACACTTTAATAGATATTTCAAGCTTCAAATATTAAGTAAAATCTAATTTGATATGCTTAAAATTATAGATATATAAATTCAACTGATCAGTAAGAAATATTTATTATAATACAGTTATAATTTTTAAATTTTATTATTTATGAAATTTGAATATTAGATTTACTACTTAAATATTAACAATTTGTTTACTTTAATATGTTATCATATCTTAATATTATTATTAATATTATTATTATTATTACTGGTCTAAAAATTAAATATTACTTTAGTTACTATTTTGTAAATATATTAATATTTAATTTAAGTATTAATTATTT